TTATTCCTTGTCTGACTTTGGATATTTCCTTCATCCAGGCTCTCTGAGATGTAACCGAACTGGACATCTGACTTCCACCTCTCCTTGTTGTCTGTCAGCTCATCTGTGTCTATCTGTCTGGGCTTGATTCCATCGGTGCATCTGTCTGCATAGGTTTGTCTGTCTGAGTTTTTGTCCTGCTCTCCATGCAAACGAAATCTGTAATGATCAATGGCGCAAGCACCTTTCGGGCTGGTCACGTACGCGGCCGCTATCGGCTAATCTGTGACAGGCAGCGATCACCGTCATGACCGACAATGAGGCCGTTTATTTAGAGCTGCATGCTACTTTTAACCTTGAGGCTACTTGTTCACACCAGCTTGTTGTAGTAACTTGGTGAGGTGCCTTGAAACCCTTGAAAGTGCGTTCTATTCTGACACCGTGGTTAGCGTCTCGGTCGACTCCGCTGCGTGTGACACGTTGCCTTGTCCTGCTCTGAGACTCCTCTGTGGAAGCTGTAGTCGGTGCAGCCAGAAGTAGGAAGTGGAGTCCTACTGTGAACTTTTAGACAAAAGTTGGACAACATTATAACTTGTGTTCCAAATGGAAAAGGTTATTACGGTTTATGTTGTGTATTTTCAACCAATTCCATCCAATTAAATTCAAAAAATTAATCTGGGGGGTTTTGCTAGTCAAGAATGATACAAACACTTCACAGTCACAATCGCTGGACCACTTCACTAATCATGGGAGCCAAGCTTCTCAGTTTGGTCACAACTGTTCTTGGCTTTCTTCCGTGTTGTTATTGTTTCCTCTAATTCCATCAAGCAAAGTGCTCTTCTGTGCCGCTGCAGTCGTGGAGATTGCATCCACAACAACCTGTCCACCAAGGAGAAGCAGAGTAGTGTCGAGCAGTATCGCCTGGAAAATGTGTGTGCATGCTTCTGAGCTTGTTTGCACTTCTTTCCAAAGCATTTTTTGTTTTTTGTATTTCTGGAATCGTGAAACCATTATGAGCCTCAAGTCTGCAAGCATCACTTGTCCTCTGCAGACTGCTGCGAGATGCAAATGCACTGCTCTTGATACAAAATGTGCAGGGCCGTGAGGTGTATCCTGCTGAGCTTTAATGGCTTTGGCTAGTTTTGCCTTCGCTGTGTTGTTGAGGTCAACCGCTGAGCAACAGCTGGCTGAGGTGTTGACAATGAAGAGATTTCTCCACCGGACGGCACAATCTCTTCTCACTATTTAGCATAGTTCTGCTTTTGTGTGCATGACTCATGATGCATCCATGTGTGGCTGTGTGGGTTGAGTGCAAACATCAGCATGTGTGAGTGAAGTAATGGATTACAAAACTTTTAATATGGTAGACTTGATTAGTTCCGTCTTTATTCCAGTTCAGTGCGCCGTTTTGCAGCAAATCAGGGCGAACGTGCTGTTGTGGGGCTTCAAAATTCCCAAACTATGATGCAACACTTCTGCACTTCACACGGCAACACGGTGCTTGACATCATGCCCTCATGGCTTTCACACAAACAGCCAGGAAACATGTCTAACCTTTTCTTGAACCTGCTGGCCAACTCCGCTACAGACACACCTGAATACATGAAGTAATGAGGAAACCAGGGCAAGAGCTTCAGCTGTAAATCAGACTCCTTAAAACATCACATATTTTGTTCAGGCCCAGAGAGACTCCTGCCTCTGGTAGCCCATCTCCCTTCGGCAAACAGTGGATCAGATCTTGCCAGAACTTTCTCCGCTGCGCTTCCTCCGCTCTGCTTTCCCCTCAGCCTTCGACCATCTCCATAAAAAGACAAGTCACGGGGAGGGCGGACTTCTCTTTCGCTGTTGATAATAAAACAAGTGCCTTTCCCCCGACAGGGTCTAGAAAGAAAAGCTAGGGAAGGGCGGTGTTGTCATGACGGGCCAGAAGTGACGGCTGTGGAACGCCATTTTCAACTTTCCCCACACATGCGATAACGGATCACAAAACATGACGGGCATGATAAGAGGTCAACAATCCCGATGCACATTGTGAAAGGACGGAGCAGAAGACAGATCTGAAGGAGACATTTTCCCCCAATATTGGACAGGCCCTCTGTAATGAAACCATACCATATCTGTGTGCATTCCTAGTAATTGCACTCCAACAAAACGTCCACTCATGTTAAGTTCTCCCTCTGGGTCAGGGTGTGCTTTGGAAATCTTGTGGTCAATGTAAATAAACTCGCTGTGCCGATGACTAAGAAGCCGCATGGATGGTTGATGCCATCCACCCACCCACACACACACACACACACACACACACACACGCATGCATGAGCAAAGCTGTTCATTACAGACGCGAGAGCATCGAGCGTAGTTGTCAATACGCTTGTCTTTTCATCCATTCTGTCAAACTGCCTTTCGATTTGCCGTGTGACTAAAGGCTTTGTGACATTTTCTGCCAGAGCTGTTTGTACTAGGAGTGGCAGGGGAGTAAAACAAACACACCTACTGCAGTAGAACAAGGTCACACATCAGCAGGTAAGGAGAGCACAGAGAAGAATTTGAAGTTAGTGAAAACAATGGAAGTCTAATGTGGAGAGAAACGGCAAAGAGAACAATTGGAGACTAAAGGCGGGGGGGGGATTTGGTGCTTGACTAAACAGGTAGCGGCACTCGGGCTGAAGAGGGTCCCAGGATTGGCTAAACGAAGACGCAGAAAGTTCTGTTTGGTCAGTGATGAGAGACGGACTCGGACAAAGACAGACGGACTTTTCGTCCGTTCAGCAGGAAATGCACAGCCTGCATAATGTAGCATTGGATTGACAAATACATCCTTCATTTGAATGATAGCCTGCTATGTACGAAGTGTACAAGTCGTGAGAGTTTGCACTTGTTTGCAGAAAACAAGGTAACCAAGACAGACGATCATTATATGAATAGTGACGAAAGCCTCGGTGCCGACTGGCTCCCCTCCAGGATTAGCTCACTTATATCAAACTCCCGTGTTCTAAAAACTTCCTCGTTCATTCATCCCTCTGTCATCATGTGACACGCAGACGACATTTTGTACGACCTATGAATCAACCTCGGTCAAGAACAGTGAGAAAGAACCACTGTTGTAACGCGTCGGTACGGATCAACTGACGGTCTCCTGATGTGGCGAACATGACTTGTATTTCCTGCCTGAACTAACCTGATGATTCATAGTTTGCTCAGTCGCTAAATAATTAAGTTAATAGCTCATCTGCTGAAGCTTAATCTATCTACTGGGCTGAACAAACAGTTTACTTGTTCAACCGATTCAGACAGGATTGATTAATTTGTTCAATTGGTGTAATTACATGTTTGGTGTGTGCACCACACTAAGCTGCCTGTTGCTGCTTTGTTCACTTTCAAAGATTTTATTCACTCGTGTCCTGCTTCAAAGCAGCCACAACAAAAAGTGCAAAAAACGATATAGTCTAAGACTGATTGTTAGGAGGAGGAGCCGGTGTCGCCGGGCACTGAGCTCTCCTTCTCCCGACAGAGCTCCGACTGCAGGTGGCAGTGAAGCTGGATCTGGGTCTGTCCGCGCTGGCTGCTGGAAGCCCAGCTGTAGTCTGAGCTGGATGAGTTTCTGGTGATCCTGCATGAGTTTCTGTTTGTTTTTTTAACCGGAATCCAACCCGGTGGCACCGATGACCGGCATTAAGAATAACTTTATAGAAAGAGGCAATCTTCTCACAGACTTGTTTTCTCGTGTAGGTCAAAGAGAGGCATCGTTATTAAATTGACTGTTTCATAACCAGTTAAAAGTTACTCAGAGTAACTTTGCATCCAATCACATCACCCACTCTGAAAGCCTAAGTGATGATTTGATTGGGTTCACAAAAGGACACCATAACTAACACAAACAAATAAGAGCCCGGATACATCAAAGTTCATTTCACTAGAAAGGTGACATGCACTGTAGTGGAGAAGTGCATCAAGAACAATTTGTCAGTGCACCGAAGCCTCGTCAGCCTGTGTTGGATTCATTTTAAACACCATTTCTGTGAGCCATGTGGTGACGGCTTTTGCACCACATAGCCACGCTGCAAAGCACAAATCCACACCGCACTGCCAGCCGAGCCAAAGACAATTGTATTGTTTTCCTATCAGTGCTCGTAGCTTTATGAGGGCTTCCAGCCACAGACGCATCGCTCATAAAGAGGAGACAGACCGCTGGAACAGTCTGCCGAGGATTCCTCACCACCGGAGAGGAGTAGGGGGGGTGGAAATAGAAGGGAGATCAAATACGAGCACGTGTGGATGATTAAATGTGTCCACGACACAAACCAATCCGATTCCCACATCGGAATGAACCTGTTCTGCAATCCGCTAATAAATGCTGAGGGTTTCGTTTTGAAGGTGTGGTTCTCATCGGTCCTCACGGCCTTGACCCACATCTGCGTGTTTTGCCCTCATGTGGCCACCAAGCTTTGAGGTGTAGAGTGTCAAACACAACAACATGAGGTCGGCACAAGTCTGCCGACGGTTTCTGTGTCTTCTCAGAGCTGCTCAGCAGAGCAAAAGTCTCCCTCTTGCAACCAGGAAACGTGTGTGGTCTTGTGTGCCTGCATGCGTTCACCGCTCTATACATCGCATGTCACTGAAAACGTTCCATCACAGGAAGCTTTGGCAGGTTCAGGCTCAGTTTCAGGTTTGTTTCAGTCACTGACATTTTACAGGGAAAGACTTTAATATAAAACGTTAAAGTTATTTTTATTTGTGTTGCTGCATCAAGTTTGTTGAATATAATACAGAAAATAATGTAATATTCTGCATAATATGAGCTATACAGGGAGACAGAGATGCTTTAAATTCTACATGCAAAAAGTCATCTTCATGCAGCAAACAGCTGTCTCTGTTCCTTACACAAGCACGTACACGCATGCACATTACACTTGCACGCGCGTACGCTCTCTGACAACAGCAGATGTAAACCCTCAAGGCGCCTTATCAGCACACGTCCGAGTCTTTCTAATTAATTTATGGCCAATAAACCGAGTACTTACAAGATAGGAATTTTGCCTGTCGAGGAACACGGAGTCTCCCATGGTCCCGAATAAGTATCCACATATAGTAAACACCCCCCAAAATGTAGATGCAGCAAATGATATCCCGTTAGAAAATAAGTCCCCCCCCCAAAAAAAGTGTGTGCGCGCGTCGGAGCGGAGAAAACAAGAGTCTCCACGAAACACTCGCGTTTTCTCCCTCTTCTGCATTCAAGACAAACGGAGACCTTGTCTTCTTTTTCACTGCAAGTCGCCCGCCGCTTTTAAGACGTAATGTCTTTACGCCAGTCAGAAGCGCGTGTCAGAAAACCATCCGTGCCGGGAAGGACACCATAGTGCGTAATGCGTAACGGGTTCATCCTGCGCGCTCCGTGCACTCTGGTGAAGACAGATGCTGAGCCGAGCCAGAGAGCGCGCTGTCGACAGTAAGAGTGCGGGCTTCCGGTAGGGATTTTCAAAATATAATAAGCTTATGTCAGGGGTTGTGTTTTTACACAAGTATCAGAAAGTAGGATGGAAACTGCGCATTCCTATTATTATTTGAAAAATTGTGTTGTCTTGAAAAACTATTCTACTGTCATGAGTGAAATGAGAAAAGTAACAACAATAACAACCACAATAATAATACATATTCATTTGGAGTTTTGAGTAACAAAGTGACTTTTGACCATGTTCCAAATGCTTTCTGTTTTCTACAGGCAGCATGACCATTATTAGCCATGACATATCGTATACTCCTTTACATGTATTTTGCATTTATTGCATTATAGCTACACAGATAAAAATAACAGCATTAGGTATTTGACACTGAAAAACATAGAGGCAGAGGGAGTGGGGCACCAAAGGAGGAGGAAGAAGCGTTTGGTTATCTGCAGAAGTGCTGCTCAAATGTTTCCATGTCAGTGACACACAAATGAAGCTCCACAGTTGATAAGCTTTGACTCTGGAAACACCATATAGGGATAACTTATTTGGATAGTTTATAGTAAAGTGCTGTTACTGTTTTTACTGTAGTCGGAAACAGTGTGGAGAGTTACATATATATTGAAATAAATTAATGACAGAATTAATGAATTATATCACCTTTAATTCTGGACAGCTTCTTGTGGTATTGTAAATTTGTCATGACAAAGATTGAATAACAATCTATTATTGCCATATGAATTATAGGGGTTTCAAGCCTTTTTTTACTGCCATCCTCACTGGAAATATCCTCACAGGAAATGCATCAAGCTAAAAACAAACCCATTTATCTCAGCGTGTGGAAAGTTGATATTTTGGAGATACAAAGTTTCTGCCAGCTGTGACAAATAGCCTGCTGTAGGCTAATTACTGGAGCCAATAAATCATAGTGGAGAGAATTTACTGGACGAACCACCGAACCCAAACTGTGATTGCTTGCTTCAATTGTAAAATATCTTTTATTTATGAGCATTCCCCTTTTGAAAAATGCTCTTTGGAGCAACCATGAAAGGACCATTTCACCACTGGAAGATTCTAAACAGGAGGGGAGGCTTGTCAGGGTTTCTGAAACACTTAATGTGGAACAGACATTTTGCAATCAGCATCTTACGACCCCGCTTGCATCCTAGCTGGTAAAAGACAGAATGGGCACAGTGGCCGAAGAATATAAGCTGACACACACACACACACACACACACACACACACACACAGTGAGAGTTAATGAAAAGCATTTGCTTTGCTCTGCAGGAGTGGGTTTATTGAGGACACAAACTGACCACAGTCTTTTCTATATTTAATAAACGGTACGTGTGAATGAGTTGAGTGAGAGAAAGGCGGTGAGTTCCTCCACACTGATCTGATAGCGCCTTCGCCATTTAAAGAATGCTGAGCCGTCAAGAGGACCACTTTACTTTACTCTGAGACTTGGAGATAAGAGATAAGCTGCTGCGGATTGACTCAGCCATGAACCAGGTGCCGTACTGTAAGTGTGTGTCTCCCACAGGCGTCATCACAGCCCTGCATGGTTACAGAAAACCTGTTCTGAACAGCTATTTGATAGGGCGGCTACTTATCAGATCTTGTATGACTGGGGTTGGTCGAAACGAAAAAGTCATTGGATTAAATGAAATTGGGACAGAATGTTGAGTCCCTTGAGTATTTAAGCAGCTGTGTGTGTTGTCTGAGATGACGATGAACTTGTGATGAGAGAATATAAAGACATACTTGGGAAATGCGGCTGTCAAAATCCCACATATTTCTGCTGACTCAAACGTCCTGTTCACTGTGACATTGTTTTTAGTGTTGTGACATTTTTCTGAAACAATGAACCTACATGGAACCTGCGAGTCAGATTCCAAACCCGTTAAGTTTAGGTATGCTTCATTCCATTAAATGTCAATAATCACGCACATCTAATGTAACATCTGGAGCTTGAATTTACTGAATCAAAGTGGATCTTAGCCCAGTTTATATGTCTTTGACAAAAGAATCCCAACCTAAGGTCCACTTAATAACATATTTCTTGTGTTTTCTAGCTGATTATATAGTCCTCATCATCAGATGGGGTTTTATCCGTTGTTATGGAATGTGTTCATTCAGTGGCAGTTATGATTTTATCCATATACAGTGGAAACTTCTTTGTGATCTCTTCTGACTCGGTCATATTGATACATTGATATATGTATTACTGTTTTTTTTCCCTTTTTGTTTATTTCTCATTACAGATTAACATCTGACATTTGTATATATAAATAATATACAGTGTATATATAAGGTATAAAGTAATGAAATGGACATCTTTGCTGTATACTGAAATGTATCAACTGTTTCAAAATACAGCATAGCTGCTTCAAGGGCGGCTTCAACTACACATGCACACTGGTTTCCTGTCTCCATCACTGGACTGTTTCTCGTGGCTTCAGTAGACGACACAAGGTAGCCTGAGGAACACCAAGGTTCACGGCTGCATCTCATTGGCTCATTTTTCTACTTGATCACAATAAGCGAATAATGTAAACGGCAGTTGTATAGGACTGATTGTCACAAGCTTTTGATCCATTGATCACTGTACTTCTATGACTCTTAATCAGTATTAGCAGCGTTCAGCGTGGATGAAGGTGATGTGATAGAAAAAAGCTAGGAAGTGGACAGTGAGTTTGGGTTGTCATGTCAAACTGCTATTTCCAAGGTCAAGAATAAACTTTTATGCTTAAATATGCTTTGGACCGGAACGCAGTAAGACCTTTAGAAATAGCAAAATTGGCCAATACAAATGAAAAAGAAAAAAAAATAATGAAGTGAAAATCAATATTTCAGTCATTTAAAGTGTCTTGTCAATGCTAAAAAAAAATATGCCTTAAAAATGAACATGTGAAAAGAAAGCTACATTCTTGGGGATGATGTGGATCACCGAAGGGGGGGGAGAAAGACCTAAAGACTAATCCCCCCCCCCCCCAAAAAAAAACACTGAAGTTCAGTCGTAAGGCTAGAAGCTGTGTTTTATGGACCTGTAGGAGGAGCCAAGTGTCTCCTAAAATGGAGTTTCAATTGTCCCAGTATGGCGCGCACACACACACACACACACACACACACTGAGCCTGTGGCAGAGGGAAGGGAGGACAAGAAGAAGTAGAGAAGGGAGGAGAGGAGGAACATGGCTGTGTGTTTTTATGCGCATGTTGCAATCGGCAGGAATCGGCTCCGACTGCCCGTCCATGAAGGCCATGCAAAGCCACGTCTGACACGTCCCTTCAGCTCGCCATCACTTCTCATATCATCTTGAATTTGTTAAAAACATGAAGCTGAAACGAGGCCCCGTGTGATCGTATATCGGTTTCAAAGCACACTCAGGGATTTTCCGCTGTTGATGATTTCTTTTTTAATCCTAAATAACCCCTAATAAACCTTTTCTAAAACAGAATAGTAATTCTTCGGACCCACACTGCTTAAATCACCTCCTTGAGATTTCCAATAATATTTTACAGGGAGCTCATGAGGCCAGCATATAATTCCAGAGCTGTATGGTGGAGGGCTGCAAAACTAATGTTTACATCGCTCAGCCGGGAGGTGCAGCGCCCTCCCCTCCAAAGGCCGAATGCCTGAGTTGTGAAATCACTCCATGGAGTGGAAAGTATTCTGTTAAAGTGCTTAAAGACGATCCAGTGAATGACAGAGAAGAATCCTGCCGGGCCTTCGATCTGTTTAACAAACACTCGCAAAATAGATGTTGCGAGGCCCCCATCGAAGTATTTGCGTGTGTTGCATCACGTGCACAAGCTCGCCTCACTCGGAGGATGCTGGGGGAAAACACATCTCACTGTAGTTGGAAAGGTTATTCTCAATATAGAATCGACATCTACTTCCATATATTGTTACAACAAATAAAGTGATTATTACAGTTTCAGATGCTCGCCAGCCACAGTAATTCAGCAGCTAGCCCTGCGAGTGCTCACTACGTCACGAAGCTTCTAGAATCAAATATTTCACAAAGACGCGCGGATCATTTTTTGCCATGCACGTTTGGGCCTTCAGTCTGGTTTCCACCATATTCATGACTAAATATTTCTGCCTGTAGTCATGTTTTTGAGCACCCTAAAGATATTTTTTGGATATATGATCCTCATCAGACACAGCTGATCAAATTCAAGAAAAAAAACAATCGCACAGCTGATAAAGAAGTTAAAATAGGGCAAACGAGCATAACTGAAGTGTTTTCCTTCTTATTAGCTTGTGGTCTCTGTGTTTTATCTTTCTTTCGTTCATTCGATGAACTTTGACCTCAATTTCACAACACAGCCCGAAGAATGGGTGTAAGAGAAAGGGGAGCGAGTGTGGTGGGGGGGGGAATGGTAAAAACTGGGCACACATAAACGAATTTACAGCACGAGCAGCACAAAGCAGCTCTAGGGGATGACCTCAGAACTGGGGAATGTGTGTGTGTGTGTGAGTGAGAGAGAGAAAGACGGTGCTTCACTCCTTCACTTGGGAGGTAAATACAGAAGACGCACACACGCAAACAAATATATCAAGGAATTATGTCTTGACAAGGGTCTTGGACCACAGCCTCCCTCCAGATACGGCCATCGTGCAGCGGGGAAAATGTTTTCTTAGAGGAACTGATCACTCAACATCCACCAAACACAGGACACACGGACAGAACGTGACGACAGCGTGGGTCTGGATTCAATCTGGACGCTTCTATCAACAGGCCAACCCAGTTGTCCTAAATCTCCGTACTCTGTCCTGAGGGCCAATCAACAGAGAGAACGGTGGGGTGGGGTGTGTAAGTCAAGAATTCTGGGTACTAGCCGTTGCTATATGGCTTTCATCTCTATACCACCTCCATGAGACCGTGCTCAAGGCGGCAGGCGGGTCAGGACCGCTCTTCAGTGGAAATGCTTGGCCCTGACCCGAGGCCACGACATTTTGAAATATATAAAGAAGTATGTTTTGCAAGAGGAAACGTTAAGAATGTGGAAATATTAAAGTAGAGTGTAGAATTTCTGGTTGCAATTTAGAATAGTTTTCATTTGAAGAAAATGGGTCTCTGAGAAAAACAATATGGTGACGTTATTCCTTGACATGGTTCGCAATGTTGTTTATATTATCTGGAGTCGCAGTATCTTGAAATCATGTCAAATCAACAACTAAAAGACCACCAAGGTGGAGTCACTAATATTGTGTTGCGTATCTTAAATCGACTGTGCCCCAAGAATGTATTCAAATCTGCTTTTGGAAATCTCCCCGTTTAAGGAACCAGATGAAGAAACAACAAAACGCCTCCAACAGCGAGGACCAGCAACTCACTTTGAACTCTGTCAGAAATCCATTTCATTATCTCACATCATCATTTAGTTTTGTAGCTGCGGAGGAATTATTGATTGGAATGAATTGGTGGGTCAGGAATTAGGTTTGGCAAAAGAAAAAAGAGAACCAACTGGCCAAGTCTCTTACATAGTTTATGATTGTAGTCTGACTGTTGTTTGCTCGA